TGGAAGGGACCACAAGGACCACCCAGTATATTTTGCAGAGCCCAAGAGGGAAACTTCAGGGACTTCAGCTTTCAGTCCTGCCAAAGCTGGTGCCTTTCAGAAGGAACACATTCTCCTTCTACCCTTTTCCAAGAGTCTAGTCAAGCATCTCAAAGGTGGCATGCTGCAGAGAACCCAAAAATGGAGATGAAACCCCTAAAACCACGGGCTGCATTTTGTAGAGCACGCTCACACTTCTCCTCCTCTCTCTAGAACGAAAGCCTTGTGCACTACCAATCAGATGACAAAATCCAAGGCCCGCTGTATTCCCTGGACCACAACCATTCCCATTTTATTTTGGTGGCTGACATGGCAGCAGATGAGGCAGATGGAACCACTGAGCTACGTCTCGCCTTGGAGAAGCACATTTCTGAGCAGCGCACTGGCTGTGGTGGTGAGTAGACTCTCTGGGGGTCTTATCTTGATTAATGCTGATAAGGCAGTGATGCTCCTCAGCCCCTGGCCTTATCAAAGGCAAATCTAGTCCTCAAACTAGACAATCATCTACACAGGCAAGATCAAGTAAATGTGTTGGTCGTTATGGAAGAGGCAGAACTAAGGTGATTTCTGACGTTGAGAAAGCTGCTCTTTGAACCCAAAATCCTAACTCTTATCTCCTTAAACATAGCTCAAAGTTGATCTTCAAAGCATAGCTCAGATTGTCTTAAAACACAAAAAAAAAATGGAGAATAAATCCACCTTCCAATGCTTTAACTAGCAGCTCTAAGAGATGGATATTCATTGTTGTGTATTTTTAACTGCTCTCACCCACAGGACCTTGAATAGCCCCCACTCTGGAAGAAAAAACTTGTTCCAAAGCCCTCTGAAACGTTTGAAATCATATTTATTTCAGGATCAAACCTTATCCTGGGTAAACAGTGTAGCATCTAATGGTCATTTAAATCTATTTGACCTTTGTTTATGAAAACAGACTATTGGGCAGAGCTCCTACTGCTCTCTGTGGGAGGAATTGAGCTGCAGTGCTAAGAGCATCCCTTTCACCTTGCCTTGGTTTCTGGAATACTTGCTCAGCAGATACAGGAGGGAGAGCTCAGTTACTCACACTTGTAGGCATCAGTGGAACATTCCACTACAGAGCAACAGCATGGCTGCACAGATGAACCCCAGAGCAGGGATGCACCCAAAGGATGCTCCTCTGAGAATTTGGGTAGGGGAGAGACCCCAGGTAGCCTGTACTGATAGGCTGAGGTTGCAGTGCTGAGAATTAGGCAGTAACCCTGTCTCTGCTTGCAAGCCAAATCTCATTGAAAAAAAATCTCAGTGGAACCATTTTCTGTCCAAAAATGCTGATTCATTTGATAAATATTTCACTGGAGCATACTGAAGTCCCTGATATCCTCTATAAACAAAACTAATGTCATTCATTTAAGCTCATTTATGTTCAAGCTGAGGGAAAGCAATTTGATTTGACTGAAGCAAAACACTTTAATAAGGTCAGGCAGAATTTCTGTGTTTTCAAAAACACCCAGCAGTCATTCAGAGGAAATTTTTGGTGTGCTGAATATTATTTGCAGTTAAGGACTTCCTAGCGTGGAGACAAAATTCCCCCCAGTCCTCCTCCAGCTCATTTTTATCTAAATCTATAGTAAATGAAGAATCTTTTAAGCCATAAACATGCCCTGAGGAACCTGTAGTCACAGAGGTCACTCTTCAATCTGGAGCATCACCATACAGAGGTACAGCAATGCTGTGCCAGTCACTGAACTAAATTAAGCTACTTGCCAGTCACAGCTCAGTGCTACCTTAAATCCTGGTTTGAGTATGGTTTTTAGCTGCTTTTTATCTCTATAGTCATCCCACAACAGATCCACCAAGTGGTAAGTGGTGATCTCTACACTGCTCTGGGAGACCTACGAAGGGAAACATCAAAACCATCCAAAAAATTGTCTGCCTTTTATCTTCCAGCTAAAAAAAGCCATTTGTGTCATGAGGTTACTGCTTTGACTGAGCTCTTTTAGGCCAACCTGTAGTCACTTTTAGATTGCAGAGTTTAGCATTGACAACATAAAGCACCTAGAAATAAATGGGCCCCTGTGGGAGGCTGGCTGAGGACAGGGGTGCCTCCATCATTTCTTCCCCTGCTGTCTATGACACATTAAATATTTCATTAAACTGTCCTTTAAATGTATAACATCATCTTATGAATAATCACCTCCATAGACTGTGCTGAATGAAATTTTAAGTCGTTTAAGCAGAGTAATAAAGAGTAGATGGTTCCTCTCAATTCTTCTCTGACTCGTTTCACCCTAGATGGTCTACAGAGTCAACCTCTTCATATTCTTAAAATCCTCCTTTTATCAGGTATTTCTCCTGGACCTCCTGCACATGCAGAACACCTGGGTCTGACTTTTCCCTTCTAACTGAATCTTAGCATGAATAATGGTAGCTGCTTCTCTGAGAACCAAACAATCCTACCTTGCAGCTCCGTTACTCCACCCTCTGATCCCCTGGCAGTAAAGAAATAACTTTAAAAGCCATTAAGTCTTAAAAAATTAAACCCTCTACTTCCCAGGAACGGGCAGCATTGAGATCCCTGTGCTTTGCTTGCTGGTAAATGGAGGACCAGGAACATTTGAGGTAAGGAGCTGTTGGCAACTCTATAAATTCACTGGTGCTCAGTAATTCATGGAAAATTTGGCTGGATGACAAACACGTGTATTGGCCCTTGACAAAGTCAAAATTCCTGTCTATACACCATTAAGAACTGAGCTCAGTTAATATTAAATTTGCCAGTATTTGTTCAGGGGAAAGATTTCCTTTTGAATAGGCAGCAGCTGAACATTAAAGCTTCCACTGCCAGCTCGTAGTGGGTAGGGAGGCTCCAAAAGCAGAAAGAGCCCATAGAAAACCAGCTCCAGATCTAGCAAAATGAAGGGCTATCACTTGAGATCCCATACAAAAAAAGCCCCAGCCCATTAACTCACAGATACTCTGATTTCTACTTTACTGATATTTTATTGTGCTACTTTATAGCAACCTGTATGGCCATGTGGCATCTTTTTAATAACACTCTAAGCAACACCCTACAGTAGCTCCAGAGAGACATTTAACCACCATTTAAACTTTCCACGTGATGAGACTCTGCCACAAAAGCTCATAACCTCTTCCACAACTCATTTCTGGTGATGTTTTCTAGTTTCAGTTTCCATTCCCTGTATCTTGTCCTATCTTTGTCATCTAGACACACGACTGGTGGTAGAAACCTCACTGGTTAAACCAGGATTATGTCACCTCTTGAGATTTCCTTCTAGAAGCTAAACACAGCAGTGGTTTCTGCATCTTGGGTGTTGAAAAAAATTCACATATCACAACCTATAAATCCTTTTTTCAAAGTTTTAGAGAACAAAGTGACCTGGAGACCAAAGGTGACAGGTTGGAGCTGCCCTGATAGCTGAGTGAGCTTTTTCAGAACATCATGTTTTCACATACAAATTGGAAACAGTGGTTAAAAAGCAAACCCAACCTAAAACCTCCCAATCCCTGCACAACAAGAGGCTCAATACTTAGAGCCTCATTAGCTTCTTGCTCAGTTCCAGAGCAAGGAATAGATTGGCAGCAAATAATCAGGGAATGCTTTGAGTTGGAAGGGACCTCAAATCATTGTTGCAGTTAGGATGCCATGGCCTCTGCTCTCCCCTCTCAACAACCTGCCTGACTCATTCTAATTGAGGAAGCAATAGAATTATCAGCCTTTAACTCCTGTAGCTGCTGTGATTCAGTGGTTTTTCCTGTGGCTCAGTGCTGCATTCCCACAGGCAAATTCCCAGTTTTCAGAAGGCATCATCAAGTTTAGCAGCCACAAAAACCTGCAGAGAATTCCTGCAGAGTGCTCTTCTGGCACTTGACTGTGCTCAACCACAAACTGTAAAGGGGATGGGGGTGGGGGAAGTCCAGACAAAGAGGTTTTATGCATTGTTTGTCCAAATCAGGTTGCTTGGCAGATAGGTCATGAAAAGCAGGATAGTCAGGAGCCTACACGTGGACAACCTGCTATGGAATCAGAAGGATTCTAACAGTTTAGAGGAGCCTGGATTGGCTCCAGAGTGAATCCAGATTATTCCCAGTTTGCAAGAAATCCTTCTTCTGCAAAACATTCTCTTTCCATATATTAATTCTAAAAAAATGTGTTTTTGAAACTACAGAGAATGTGCAAGGGGCTGGAAAACTCTGCTCCCTGGCTCATCTTGGCAGGATCTGGGGGTACATCTGACATCTTAGCTGCCTTCATGAACGACCCACAGCTCATCACACCAGAGGCTGTTGAGGAGCAATTTAAGGAGAAATTCCCTGCAGAAAGCTTCTTGTGGAAGGATGTTGTCCAATGGACAGCAATGGTGAGCTCCTATCTTTGATAATTACATGCAACACACCCACGAGCTCTCTCTCACTATTTTGGTAGCCCACTCAGTGTAGGTTTGAGAAGAAGCTGCCCAGAAGTTTTGGGCCCTCCAGTGCTCTGACACTCATGTCATAGAATATCCCTCTAACATTAAAATCAACCACTTTGTCCTAGGGACTCAGCTGAACACTTAGAGCTCTGTCTTTCCTCAAGTAACAGCCAGGAACCTCACAATCCTTCTGGAGGACATGAAGGATTATTTATACTCCACAAGCATTATTTATACTCCACAGCTGTGGAGCTTGTGCAGCTGTGGCAGAAGAGACCTAATTCACAACCTACAGCTGCTAAATGGAAACCTCACTGTAGATAAGCATGAATATATTGAAAAGAATGAAGGGTGCTCAGAAATCACTCCGTTATGTGCGCCCTGAAGAAAAGGAGGACAAAAACTCAGTTTTCCTTATTCTTCTGCCTTGAGGCACTCTTGCTGGGCTTAAACCACTATGCTGAAGTGCTTAACAAACAAAAAATACACTTTGAGATTGTTTTTTTGTGAAGACTGAAGAACACTGTGCCCCTCTGAGATAAACCAAGACCACTCCACCTGACCCACTGCTTCCTCTTTGCAGTCCCTGCTGTAATCTTTAGCTTTAAAAGTTCCACATCTTAATTCCAGAGGGAGAACTTTGCCAGGTCGTTAACACAAGGGGATGAAAGGGCATCTAGGAGCAATATTGCCAGATGCTCACAAAATCTCAGTGCAGCTGCACTGAGAGAAGGAAAACTCAATAGAGTAGCAGAAGGAAAGAGTACTGGATGTTATATTTGATGACTTTTACCCAAAGAACAATATTTGATGACTTTTACAAAAAGAAGATTTAGAGACTATGCTTTTAAATAAACAACTCTGAGAGCAAAACTTAAATGTCAAAGTGAGAGAAGGTAAAACAAAACCAGTGGTACCCTGGCCACAGCACCACTGTCAGTCAAATAAGAATGTGAGTTAGGGAAGGAGCTTTTAATTCAAACACTAGGTTCTTGGGATGGCCAAATTCTGTTCCTCCTACTCTACTAGGTGGATTTGGAAGAGGCAGGAACTTCCTCCTTGCCTTAGGACTTGTTTATATATGGGAAGCCACCAACATTTGTCTTCAGGTCAAACCTCAGCTTTACAATTAGAAGATAAGTTGTTGGGTTGTATCACAGGGATGTTCTCCACGGGGCTCTTAGGCATCAAGAGCAGCAGGACAAGGTGTAAAATGAGGTTTTTGTTTCAACTCCCAATAGATTCAGAATATTATTTCACACCAGCATCTTCTAACCCTGCACAACTTTGAGCAAGATGGTTCAGAGGAACTAGACACAGTCATTTTAAAAGCTTTAGTAAAAGGTAAGAAGACTAAACACAGCATGGTGTAATATTTGTCTTATTTGACTTCATCCCTGCTATAAATACATTTCATCCCTGTCCAGAGCAAGTTTGGTTGGCTGTTGGTTCAGATTTAATTTCTGATGCAGAAATCTTCTGTTTGCTTACTGACAAATTAACTGTGGCTATCACCACTGCTCCTGTAACTTTGCTTTAAACTAGTATTTGCTTTTTAATCTCATCATACTGTACAGTACTATTTTAATCCCTTCACTGCTTGTTTCTTTTAGTGGTAGAGGTTATAGGAGGACTAAAATATACTAGACCAGTTATTCCAAATAGAAGCCATTTACAAACAAAACCAAAACCCACAAGTAGACCCAAATTGTCTCAGTTTCACCAATAATTCATTTCTCCTATAAATAAATAGATGTGGTGCTGGGGGACATGGGTCAGTGGTGACCTGGCAGTGCTGGATCTGAAGGGTCTTTTCCAACCAGAATGATTCTATGATCTCCACTGTGTCTTCTGAAAGGAGACATTACTTCCTCAGCTACTCATTTCAATTTGTGTCAGCTTCATTGTCTGTGTTAGCCCAAATTTAGCATGGCACCAAGACTGTATTCAGAGAAACAGAACAAGTGTCAAGTACTGACTTCCTTTGCACTTCCTCTTTTTGCCAGCCTGTAAAAGCCACAGTCAGGAGGCTCAGGAATATCTGGATGAACTGAAGCTGGCAGTGGCCTGGAACAGAGTGGACATAGCCAAAAGTGAAATATTCAATGGGGACGTGGAGTGGAAGGTACCAGGGGTTTATTGCCTTCCAGGATGAAAGGTGTATAATCCAACATGTTCAGGATGCTAAAACATATCCTGGTAGGAGGACTGTTTTTAACACTGCCTGCACTCTCCACTGCTGGGCAGCAGCATGACTCCTTAGGGTTCTGGTCTTTCTGGTCCTCACGATGACAATGGCTAAAGATAAATAATTCCATGGTCGTGGTCTCCTTCTTGAGCAGTTTGGGAGTAAGAATCTTCCCCCCACCTTCTGTACAGGCCTTTAAAGGAAGCAAACCTGAGCTCACAAAGCAAAAGGAAGGTGCAGAAAATACTGTTAGAAGATGGTAGGAGGAAAGTCACTGTTTCCACACTGTATAAATGCCCAGTGTGGTGGGTACCCAACATCACCATAACGCCTACAGCATGCTCTTTGTGTGGATGCTGTTGACCTGGTGGGAGACAAAATGTGCACGTCCTCACGTTAAATGTAACCTCCCTCCTCATCTGCCCATGACAACCCCCAAAATCTTCTCTTTTTCCCTTCATCAATCTAGTCCTGTGACCTGGAGGAAGTGCTGATGGACGCTCTGATCAACGATAAACCAGAATTTGTGAAGTTATTTGTTGACAACGGGGCTAACATACCTGAATTCCTGACATACAGTCGTCTGCAGAGACTCTACTGTTCCATTTCCCAAAAGTGCCTCCTCTACGAACTTCTGCTGAAGAAACATGAAGAAACTAAGCTGACCTTGGCAAGCCAACAGCGTGAGGAGCAGCATGAGACCCGCCCGCTCTTCACTCTCAGTGAGGTCTCTAGAGTTCTCAAAGACTTTCTCCACGATGCTTGCAAAGGTTTCTATCAAGACCCCAGACATGGAGGCAAGAGGAAATCAGTGAGTCACAATTTTCCATTGTAGCCCTGCTCCACTCCAGTTTAGAAGTTGGAAAATTTTAACTAGGTCTAAGCTTTGGGGGTGAGACAGGAAAGGGAAGAGGAGAGAAACAGTCACTTCACTTTCTCATTCCTTTTTTTCAGCTCATTACTATTCCAGCTAGATGGTTTGACCTTTTCAATTTCAAAATTAAAAAGGGAAAAGAAGGAATTTCTACGATCAGCAGGTTGTGATTCCTCTTCCTCCCTCTCTGCACATGGGGTTTGGTGCCAGGTTTCACTCTACACTGGTAGGGTTGCAGGCTCTGCAGGGGTCCCACCTCTCTCCTACTTCTAGCACAGCTTCCACAGGCAATTCCTCATTCTGGCACCTTGCATGTGGAGAATAATTTGTTGATCTTATAAGCCTCATATGCATAAAGAAAAATGCAGTGGAAGATAGATGGGCAATACAGAGATTTGTTTAGTGAGGAGTAATTAGACATAAAAGCAGCAGCCTGGATTTCTCAGAGAGAATTTGAAGGACTACTTGAAAAACAGTATTTTCAAGGACAAGAAGAAGCAAGTGATGGTTCTTTTCAATCCCAGGCTTGAAAGCAGTAATCTTTGTACCTAAAACTGTTCCCAGATTTAGACTTTGTAGACTTGTCAGGTGTTGGGCAGGGCCACTTCATGTGGGTGTTCTGTCACAAGGATGACATGGGATAGGTCCCACTGAAACGTCATAAAAAAGCCACAAATTAATAACTCAAGAGCTTCCATCACTTCTGCTTTAATAAAGCCTAGATAAATTAATCAGTAGCATGTGTCCTGCAGGTTTTTCAATGCCATTCGTGTTGATTAAATAGCTCACTCCAAACTGAACACCACCAACACTCCTCCCAAAATGCCATGAAAATAAATTTGAACAAAATCCTATAGTTTAAGTGATGAAAAAAAAATATATTATCAGAAAAACTTTTTTTTTTAAAAAAAAAAAACCCTCACTTTGGCTGCTTCTGATTAACACCATAAAGGCAGTTTTAAAATCTACTCCAAACTCAGAACTGGACCTCAGTTGTCACACTTCCCCTAGAGAGGTTTTGTTTTTTATAAAATCAGATACTAAAGGCATAAGACGTGTTCTGCTTAAAATATTCCCTGCATGGGGGAGAGATTTCTCAAAGTAGACTTGTCAGGTGTTGGGCAGGGCCACTTCATGTGGGTGTTCTGTCACAAGGATGACATGGGATAGGTCCCACTGAAACGTCATAAAAAAGCCAAAAATTAATAACTCAAGAGCTTCCATCACTTCTGCTTTAATAAAGCCTAGATAAATTAATTAGTAGCATGTGTCCTGCAGGTTTTTCAATGCCATTCGTGTTGATTAAATAGCTCACTCCAAACTGAACACCACCAACACTCCTCCCAAAATGCCATGAAAATAAATTTGAACAAAATCCTATAGTTTAAGTGATGAAAAAAAAATATATTATCAGAAAAACTTTTTTTTTTTTTTTTAAAAATCACTTTGGCTGCTTCTGATTAACACCATAAAGGCAGTTTTAAAATCTACTCCAAACTCAGAACTGGACCTCAGTTGTCACACTTCCCCTAGAGAGGTTTTGTTTTTTATAAAATCAGATACTAAAGGCATAAGACGTGTTCTGCTTAAAATATTCCCTGCATGGGGGAGAGATTTCTCAAAGGAAAGATTAAAAGGAGGGTATTGATGTGCTTTGCTCTTCTCCTGTGCGGGGCCTCGGTGAGATTTCTGTTGAAACCAAACCCCTTTTGTTCTCTTTTCTCTGGAACCATATCCCATGGGGCAGTCGAGCAGAATCCACTCTGAAGGCAAGCTCAGGTTAGCTCACCACAGGTTTGCCCTGGGTGATATTACACACCAGTGAAACCCTGCCCTTAATGAAGCCAACGAGAGCTTCTCCATCCACTTCAATGGAGTCATGGCTTCACCCAGCACGTTCTCACACGTATTGAGTTCCATCAGGGACACAAAGGTCCTTTGAATTCAGGAGAGAATGAGCTAATTACCTCTCAGTCCTACAGAAAAGAAAAATCAAACGTAGATGAAGCAGTTGCCGAGGCCAAGAGCACCTTAGATCGTGTCATTTGCATGGAATGAGACCACAGCCCGGGTTTTAATTTCTACAAACCATATTTCAGGATAAAATGAACGCAAAGAGACTACCTGAGCCTTTGGACATGAACCAGAAGAGTGAAAATCCTTGGAGGGATTTGTTTGTGTGGGCAGTACTTCAAAACCGGCACAAGATGGCAAACTACTTCTGGGCTATGGTGAGCTGGGAGGGAAACGCTGGCACAGTGCAAGCACGGGAGAGGGTTTTTGCTCAGCCTTCCAGCTCTGCTGACAGACAGGCTTGTTTCTAAACCATCAGATGGGGCGTTGGTAGAGCTTCCCATCTCCACGTGGTCCACGCCAGCAGGGGCCAAAGGCTCTGGCAGAGCAGCAGGATCAGCACAGTCAGAGAGCCTGCTGGTTGACCCCAGCTGCAGGGCTGGCCCTCCTCTTCCTCGCTGCTGGTGACTCACCACACTCAGGTTTTGTTCCTTCTACAATAGGACAGTTGTTGGGGTTCCAGGGAGATGCCTCAGAGGAGCATCTTCAGCCCAGGCGCCGCGTGCGCGGGGAACGAGAGCCCCACGCTCCCGCAGGCTGAGCTCCAGGCTGGCATAATCACCTCCTGTTCCCATTCCCCCCCCAGCCGAGGGCCTGGGCCATGCATCTGGAGGTGGCTGTGGCTTCCCTCCCCCTCCAGAGCCAGCCACGGCCTCTGGGCTCCCGCCCCCAGACCCAGCCACGGCCGCTGGGCTCCAGCCCCAGGCTGCATCTGGAGAGCTCCCCGTGTGCCTGCAGACACATCGGCCCTGGGGAGCCCTGTCCCCAGGGGCACGTCCCTCTGCCAGCTCTGCTCCCTCCTTGTGCCAGGTCTCAGCACATCCCATCCCAGGTGCCTTGGAGCTGTGAGACTGTTTTGCTCTAGTTGCATGATGCAACCCCCTCTTTCAGTTTTTCCTACCCCAAATCAGGCCCTTCTACAGTCAAACCAACCTAAAAGCTTCCAGCCTCATAAGGCACAAGAAGTATCAGTTATCAAACTGATGCCTCAGTAAGGCACAAGTGGGTTCAGTTATCAAAATTAAGAAGAGTGTGGCCAGCAGGAGGAGGGAGGTTCTCCTCCCCCTCTGCTCTGCCCCAGTGCGGCCACAGCTGGAGGATTGGGTCCAGGTCCTGGCTCCCCAGTTCAAGAGAGACAGGGAACTACCAGAGAGAGTCCAGCAGAAGCTACAGAGCTGCTGAGGGGCTGTTGAGCCTGGAGAAGAAAAACCTGAGAGGGGATATGATCAATATCTAAAGTGTGGGGGGCAAGAGGTTGGGGCCAGACTCTTGTCAGTGGTGCCCAGTGACAGGACAATGGGCACAAACTGCAACCCAGGAGGTTCCACCTAAACATGAGGAAAAACTTCGACAGAGCACTGGAACAGGCTGCCCAGAGAGGCTGTGGAGCCTCCTTCTCTGGAGAGATCCCAAACCCACCTGGATGTGACCCTGGGTGAGCTGCTGGAGCAGGGGGTTGGACAAGATGATCTCCAGAGGTCCCTTCCAACCCCCACCATTCTGGGATCCTGTGAAATATCACCAAAACTGTCAATTGGATGGACATTTTGGATTTTCAAGTTTGTATTTGAGACAAGATTTTCCAAAGAGGTGACCTGCCTGAATTTTTTGGGTGTTTTTTGGTTACATGTGTTCCTTAGTGAGCTCTCCCCAGTTCAGAAATGCCCTCCAGTCCATGGTAGTCTCTTCTTTGCATTCTGCAGGGTCAGGAGGGTGTAGCTTCAGCTCTGGCAGCCTGCAGGATCCTTAAAGAGATGGCCCGCCTGGAGACAGAGACTGAAGTAGCACGGATCATGAAAGAGGCCAAGTACGAGCAGCTTGCTGTTGGTAAGTAATGGAGCCTTTTGAAGAGCATCAAAAATTTAAGGAACTGCCATTGGAAGGAAGGCAGTGAAAAAAAATTTACTGTTTCTGCTGTAAAATGTCAACTGTCATGAATAATTGACCAGCCTTGCAGCACAGGCTGTCCCAAATGTTCAAATCCCACAGCAGGAGGAGTTAAAAACAATCATTTTGGAAAAAAAACAGTGTTCCATGGATGCATGGAGGCAATGACTGCTGAATGTTGCTATTTTAATATTATATTTTAGATCACAGAATGGTTTGGGTGGGAAGGGATCTTTCCAGGTCATCTAGCCCAACCCTCCTTGCAAGGGGCAGGGAGAGTTTCAGCTAGAGCAGGTTGCTCAGAGCTCCATCCAACCTCACCTGGAATGGCTCCCGGGAAGGGGGAGCGGCCTGGGCAGCCTGGGCCAGGGGCTCCACACCCTCAGTGTCAAACATTTCTGTCTATTTAGTCTAAATCTCCCTCTTTTAGTTCAAACCCATCACCCCTCGTCCTGTTGCAACAAGCCCTGCTAAAAAAAAAATCTGTCTCCAGCTTTCTTATAGGGCCTCTTGATGTACCAAAAAGCCACCAGAAGGTCTCCCTGGAGCCTTCTCCTCTCCAGGCTGAACAACCCCAACCCTCTCAGCTGAGACAGAACAACCAGAACACTTCCAGGCTCCCAGCAGCCTGGTTCTGCAGCATCAAGCTCGCTCTGTAAGAGCCACCAGAGCAACAAGTTTTAAAGGTTTCTCTTTGCTGCTAAAAATAATTCCAGATGAGCTCATCCAGAAGGGAGCCAACGGCACTGCAAAGCTGCAGCGAGGCTCAGGCTGGTTTTGCAGCAGCCAAACCACCCCTCCCTGCAGCAGGGAGCACTTGGGCATCTGCAGTGCCCTCTCCCCCTCGCCTGGTTTGAAAGCAAACCCCCAGAGAAGCTCCTGTGCAGAGAGCTGACTACAGTCTGGTAGCTGAAGGTAGCACTGATGTGAGCAGAGGGCTTTAAAATACCCCTCCCCAAAAAACAGAGAGGGTCTTGCTGTCCCCTTCGAGCCTTTCCATCAGGCAGCTGAGGGTTCTTGCAGCACTGCTGGGTTATTTACACACAGATCACATCTCCCCCTCTTCTCCCAGAGCCCTTGTTGGTTGCACAGCATCCAAGCCAGGTTCTCCCAGAACTGGAGGGATTTAGCCACGGAATCACAGGGGCTAATCCAAGACACAGGAGTATTAAAATCAGATCCCTGCTTTTAATTTCTGGCCCAGATAACACTGTGGCTATCAAGCAGAGGGAATGTTCTTTGAGGATGATAAACACCACATCAACTGCAGAAGAAGTCCATGCCTCAGCTCATTTTAAATCAACTTGATCCTTTCCCCAGTCCTCACTACAAGGTGTAGGCTGGCCTGGGAAAGGGGCTGAGATAACCAAGTGATTCAGACACAAGAAGTCAGATCCCATCTAAGGATAAAACCTTGATTTGGGGGGCTGTTTATTCTGAGCTCCAGCACAAGCTCCACTGGAAGCAGAACTACACCACGACACTGCATCAAGTGGGGGTTTTTTTTGGACATTTTGGATTTGACAAGGATTTGTTGGCCACAAGCCAAAGCTGAGTTGTTCCTTTTGGAGAACAGGGGTAGGGTGGCAACTCATCTTTAAAGGGTGAGGGGATCACCCAAGAGACACAGTTTTGCTTGAGATTGCCTCGAGCTCCACAGGAGGCAGCTGCAGATGAGGGACTGTGACAAATACTGACATGTTTCCAATAAGGTTTTTTTATGCTGTCTGTAGAAGTGAGGAAGAAAAATTTCTCCTCACCTCAAACAGGAAAAAAAACCCCACCAAAACAAATCAAACCAAACCTGTCAGAGGCCCCAGGTTGAGGAAGGGAACATACAGATGGAGGTGAGAGGGAGGCACTGAGAGATTTACTCCCCACCTTTCTGCAGAGAGTGGGGATTTTTTAATTGCATTGATTTTTTTTTCACCAAGTCAAATCCATTTCATCTCTTCTCTGCCCCAACACGTGTACAAAGCCATAGCAAGTTATCCCTGTGTCCAGCTTCGTTCATCTCCCCCTCCCACCTCCTCTTAGCTCTCTCAGGGTCTTTTCAACCCCTTGAGCCCTGCAGAAGGCTCTGGTGCAGCGAGGAGCATCTGGCAGTGCTTGGGCTCTTCTGCCACACTGCTCTGCCCTGCACACATCACCCTCTTGCCTTACAGTCATCCTTCAACTGCTTTTTCTCTGAATTACAAGATCTCTTTGTCTCCATTCCTTCCCCTGGCAGAACTGTTCAGTGAATGCTACCACAACAGCCAGGAGAGAGCGTTTGCTCTGTTGGTGAGGAAGAACCAGTACTGGAGCAAAACCACCTGCCTCCAGCTGGCCACTGAGGCAGATGCCAAGTCCTTCTTTGCACATGATGGTGTCCAGGTGAGCTTCACACACCCTTCCCTCACCACCTAGGACTCTGTAATGGTTTGAAACCTGCTGCCCCTGGGGGGTGGAGATCTGAAACCCTAAACCAGGTACAAGCCTGAATGAAAGGGGCGTACCCCTGTCCTATTCCCACTCCCCTTTTCCTGTCTTCAGAACTTCCTGCCAAGGTCTATAAAAGGGGTGAGAAAGGCACGACTCTTCCTCTTACCCTCTTGCTCTTCTTCCTCTTGCTCTTGCTCCTTTGACCTTGTACCTGGGCACACGCTGCTCTGCTGCTCCCTGTGCTACACGTGGCCGTGGCCATCTTGGAGACCTGGGCCTGATCTACAGACTCTTCCCTGCCTCCATCCACGTCCAAGGATTGTGCATCCAGCTTCAATCCACCTCAATCCAGCGAGATCCAGCACCGGGGAGCCTCAGCACAGCATTTGGGTTTTGTATATTTGGAAGTTTAATCTTCCTTGCCTTGTTGTTCCTACAACTCCCCTTTTCTGTTAAACCCCTACCCTTCTTTTCAGTACCCTGTTAAACCCCTTCCCTTCTTCCTTTCTGTTCCCTGTTAAATAATATATTTCATTTTGTTAATTTTCAATTTGGTGCAAGGTTTTCATTCCCCCTGCCTTCCTTATTTACCTCTCTATCTGAGAAGCTGAAGGATAAGGGAGGTGGGACACAATTCTGCCTTCTAACCAGGACAGACTCTAAGCATGACATTAGACACAGGAGAGGATAGCCCAACAACTGAACAACCCCAGGACATGTAGACCTCCAAAAGACTTTCTTCAGAAAGGGCACTCTGCCCTCTCCTTGGCACCATACAAAGAGGATGTCACCTCCCCTCCTTGACAAAGGGACCAGGTTCTGCCTTTCATCCCATTGCACTGACAACAAGCTTTAGCCCTTACTTCATCCCGTGCTTTTTATTCCTTCCTTGCTCACAGAGAAGCATCAGGAAAGCACTTAAACCTGCCCGAGGCAGAACGAAGCTGTTCCAAGACGTGAGGTCACTCCTTGCTCGGATTCAGGGAAGAGCTCGCTGATAAAAGTTAAATTAAATTACTGCTGAGCTTTATCCTCACAACCCGAGTTCTCTCCACATACACAAAGCTCAATGAAGAGTGATGGTGCTTTTAGCTCCCAGAGCCTGACTTGCACTTTCTTAGCATCACAGATGTTGCTTAATCCCCCTTAACTTGCTATTCTTTCCATGCTCCTCTTTATAACTCTTTGCATATTCAACAACATCTGCAGGAGGACACACAGAGCACCCGTTTGCTCTGAAGATTTGCCTCCTCTTTATATTTCCAGAGAATTCTCTACCTTAGGACCATAGGTGCACTTCATCTGCATGTATATTTTCGTGACATTAAAGCCATCTCTTGTTTTCCTGACTTTCAGGCCTTCCTGACAAAAATCTGGTGGGGAGACATGTCTACGAACACAGAGATCCTGAAGTTAATCTGTGGATTCTGGTGCCCTTTCCTAATCTACACAAATTTAATAGCATTCAGGTACACACAAAACTGTTTGGGTGGAAGAGAGAACACAGGGGTGAAGAATAAGCCATAAAAAATACCCAGACTCAAAATTTTCTTGCTTAAGTGGTGAAAACAGCAATATCACCCCAGAGTGGCAATAGGAGGATTGCACCATGATTAACCCCATCATTTCTCCATGGGACTGGGTGATTTGTGTGTCCTGGGCTGGTGCCTGGTCTAGTACTTAAAAGATCAATGTCACAGATTCACAGAGATCACTTCTGGCACTTAAAAGCCTGTTGGAATTCTGGCAGCTCCAGTAACATGTAGAATATCTCCAGGTGTGGCACCATCTAGTTCTAGATTTGGAGATGGCAGAGTTCAAACCTCAGCATCTTACCTAGAAAAGCAGCCATCATAAAGCAGTATTATCAGCCACGAGCCTTGATAGCCATAAATCAAGCTTAAAAACACAAGACTGACATGAAATCAATTAAGACTTTCAAATTCAATCTCTTATGACATCTCATTGTTAGTTCTCCACAGGCATAGCTTTGGAGTTTGTAGTTCTCAGCTCTTTGTCAAAGTTTCTCAGCTTTTTTTAGTGAAAATGGCTAAAATCTTACATTTTCCTGAAACAAAACAACCCCCTCCATGCCAAACAACAACAAAAAACAACCAAACAACAACAAAAAGAAGCAGCAGCCAAGATGCTCAGGCAGTCATCAGGAACTGAAACTTGAAGAAAACCTCCTAATATTGCAAGAACCATACACAAATCATCAGAACTGGCTCGATGGATGGACGTGTTCTTATGAAATATGTTCCTGAGCTGTTAAAGTATTTAAAAAGCAAGAGGAAAACTTGTTTGGCACTGCTGACTTCAGGCTTTCCTTCTGCCAGCATCCCCAAAGAGGACCTGCTCATCAGCGCCTGCCAGATTCACAAATTCAAGTCATGTAATGGGAAGTTTTGGCAAAGTTTTCATGGAAAGGTTTAAATTAGGATTCAGAATCAAGGTAACCCTTTCCAGATTTGTTCTGTTGAGGACATTTTTTTGCCTCCTTTCCCCTGGAAAGGCAAGAGCTGACACCACGTTCCCTACTGCTTTTGGCATTTCCACTCTTAATTGCTAAGAGTAAGCAGGAACAGAGCATTGGGGTATTGTCTTCTAGGACTAACTGAGGGGTTTATTTCTGCTCAAATTCTAAGGAATTTGAGGAAACTGAGCATCCTGCTCCAGTTTTGTGAGCAGCCACTTATCCCTTTCTCTGAATCTTGCGGGTGACTTCAGCCTTCTCCTCACAAATACAGAGAATTTGCAGAGCTAAGGACTGTGCATGATTTGAGGGCTTCTCAGCAGAGCAAGTCCAAAATAAAGTACAGGCCAGCAGTTCTGTATGAATGCCAATTTAGCAGTGACAAATTGCCAACCATCCCCTTTTAACTAATGAGTTTATTTCCTTGCAGTGAGGAAAAACAATCCAAGAACGAGCCGGAGCCATTTAGAGAGCTGGACAGTTTAGACACAGAGAGGACTCTCTTTCTTTCCAAGGAGGAGGATAGGTGAGTTTAAAACCATTAGTTAATGTAATCTTTGTGAAAACAATCCAAGAACAGACAATCCCTGTGGGTTAGTCACCACCTAATGATCTAAGGAGCAGCTGAAGGACCAAGAAAGTCATTTCTGCTCAGAAAGCAGATTAGTCCTCTGCTTATTGCTGCTCTCTGAAAGGCATCTAGAAAATAAACAGGGGTATGTTACTGTCTTAAGGAGACAACTTGTTCTGAGCAGGTCATTCCTACAGAACAAGGAATCTGCTTAATCCCTCTGGAATCAGAAAGCATTCCCTGAGGTTCCCTTCAGGTTGTGATGGCTGATGCACATTGGATTTAGGAGCTAATCCCCTACCAGGTTACTGAGCTGAGCAGGAAGGTTCTCAGCAAAATCATCATTCCATACTTCCCTACAAAGGCAGCAACAAAAGTACTTGCAAATACCTGGGTATTTTATATTCAGTCAGCTTCTCCCCATACTAGTGCTCCTCAATTATAGCTTAAAAGAAGAGAAACATGAAGTGAAACAAGCTAATGAGTCAGAGGGAGCATCACACGACCAGGTAACCATGAGCTGCTCGTGGTTATTCACACAGATCTGCAACTCAGAACTCCTGAACCTCCCCTTGTACCTCTGCTGCACACCCCTCACCAAATCTGGGAGGCCCCAAAGGGTTTGAGGCAGGACAGGAAGAATTTTGATCAGCAAAGTGTCCTCTCAATGGCTCCACAGTGCTAAATTGTATCAGCCATGTGATTTCAGTGATTTAAAGAGAACTCCAGAAACAGGTGAACAACGGGAGCAAGGAATCATCATCCACAGCACCAAGTGCTGGATCAAGTCAGAGTTCTTAGGTCCTATTTTTAACCTCTGGCATTTAACGGATGGTATGTTGGAAAAAATCAGTAGTTTTCTCCTCTCCTTCCCTAACCTATGAAATAGGTGTAAAAGCATCTGCCCCTGGGGAGCTATCTGTAAGCAATGTCCTAAAGCACTTCCACACCCCAAGTGGAACGTGGTTGGGTTGTTACACTGTGAGTTCCAGCTGCTGTTATCTTAGCAGTTTATTTTAACAGAGAGCCTCTCTCTCTCTCTCTCAGATCTGTTTCCCCATCTTCCACTGAGGCTGCAGTTATCTGTTTATGATATTAGCCTGTCACCATGGGAGTGTGTCTTTGGATGTCATAGCCCTTGGTTGGGGATCACACCTCGCAGAGCCACAATCACAAAATTAAAGGCCCAATAACATCCCTGGCTTACACAGGGGAGCAACTTCAGTGGAAACAAAGCCTTAGCTAAGATCAGATTGCTACCAAATACAAGGGACTTGAATTTTCTCCACGGGGTCACTTCCAGGGCTAATAAATAGCACTTCATGTTCCAAAACACAGCAAGAACAACTGTAGAGGTCAAATTCCCCTCCAGTTACCAAAATACTTGCATAATTCCACAATAGTCAAAGATTGACTTAATCCATAAGGTCAACTGGTTACTTTTTTTGCTCAAAGGCTTCTAGCTTACTTTTTCTGCAATTTGCTCTAATTAAATCAAAAAGGGCTTAGTATGATCCAGCACTTCTGAGACTGGGTCAAAAGGAGGAGTTGCTTAAAGTCACAGCAACAACAAGAGCTTGTGCATGCAAACACTGCAAGAAGTTTCTAAGGCCAAAATAATTAAGAACAGACTTACAAACTACATTGGCCATTTGTTTTTCTTCCCTATTTTTTCATAGAAGGGGTTGGCTTGGAAGGGACTTCAAAGATCAGCCAGTTCCAACCCCCTCGCCATGGGCAAGGACACCTCCAACCAGACCAGGTTGCCCAAAAGCTCCATCCAACCTGGTCTTCAACAATTTCAGGAGGGGACACCCACAGCTTCCCAGGGGAACCTCTTCCAGTGTCTCACCTCCCTCCCAGTGAAGAAGACTTTAGGATGATGAAGAGCAATTAGCACACTTCTCCTTGTGCATTTGCACACTCCCACGTGCAGGAACACAACGAGGTTACAAACCAGATTAACAGAACAACACTGAAACAGTGAGAACATGCATTTAAGTCTGATGGGAATTCATTTTTCAAAGCCTTCTTTTTGACTTGAAGAAGTCCCACCATGGTGATGCGACTGTTCTCACTTCTACAGCTTTCCTCCTTGCATCTGCCTGTTACTGCCTCATAAAAAGCTTCACATAGAATAATACTGAACCTACTGCCAGGAACTAATTTTAGGAGATCATCACCAAGCCTATATTCTTCTTGTTTTGCAGAGGAAGCAGCAAATTGGAAAGCCAGGACCCTTCTGACAACACAGCGTGGGCAACATTCCTGTTTACTCGGTGGAGAAAGTTCTGGAGTGCCCCTGTGACTGTGTTTGTGGGGAATGTTATCATGTATTTTGCTTTTCTGTTTCTATTTACTTATGTCCTTTTACTAGACTTTAAACCACCTCCACCCGAGGGTCCATCTGCTAAAGAAATTATACTTTACTTCTGGGTTTTTACTCTGGTCTTGGAAGAAATCCGACAGGTCAGTAGCCTACAACATCTTAGTTATTACTGACACAGTAAAACCTGAAGCAGTATTTGGAATATATATTTTGAACACAGAACTTACCTGATCCAAAAAGCTCAACCAGAGCAAGTTCTTCCTCCACCACCTAAACCTGTAGCTCCACCTTGGTTTTCCCCTCCTGCTCCAGCTGCACCCAACTCAAGCGTGCTGCTGAGATCCAGGTTCTCCCTCATTTCACCACCCCCCAGAATTAGGATCTCCCACCCCAAATAATGAGAGTTATGTTCTACACCTGGAAACACAGCAGGCAACTCTATCTCCTTTTAAGAGCTTTGTCCTCACTGGGGACTATGTGAAAAAACCCACAATTTAATGAATTCAGGGTATTTGTGTTTTTTCCTGAAATACTTCTCATCTCCAAACATTAGCAGATCTCTTTTGGATTTGCTTATTCTAAACCAAACAACCACAAAAAAACCTTCTCCATTACTCTGCCAGTTACTGGGTTTGGAAAATTCTCATCTCAGCAATCAAAATAATGTGTGAACAATGGTGCTCGTGCATAAAATTGTCTTTAGGCACAAAAAAACCCCCCCAGTTATGAACATTTTTGGGGGAAGAACAAATAGGTGTTCATTATTTAAGCAGTGAAGGGGATCCCAATTTATTTGAAACCTCACAGCAAGGCCACAGCCAGAGGAGCACACGGGAAATATCTGGATCAAGGAACTTTTCATTGTAAACCTGTAAAACAAAAAGAATGCCAGGTTAAAATGCAACTAAGAAATCCAGCTCTCTGCCTGGACAATCAAATGTGCTCACTGACCACTCCACTGCACAGATGCCAGATCTGCTCATGCTGTTTAGACAGCAGTGTCCAGAAACTGAACTTTGGATGGAAATTTGTGTGTTAACAGCCCAAATGCTGACAAAAATCTTAAATCAGGCCTCAAAAATCCTGCAGGCTAATATCACAAGGACAAAAAACCTTCATTTTTTCCTTCTTCATCCAACATCTGTGTTTTAAGACAGTAAATTGAGCTTATATTTTCAAGCTTTTTTTTTTCTTTTCCTATTACACTAGGAATTCATTTTCACTCTTTGCAATTAAGGAGTAAAAGGAAAGAGGTATTCTGGTAAAAATCCCAGTGGAACAGGAAACAGATCAATTCCAATGATTATTTCTCTTTTCCAGAGCTTCTATACAGACGGAGACACAAATTTAATGAAAAAATTTAAACTCTATGTGGAGGATAACTGGAATAAATGTGATATGGTGACCATCTTCCTCTTCATCATCGGGGTAACCTGCAGGTACCTGTCCCATGTGAGGTGCTCAGCAGCAGTAGCAAGGTCTCATGTGCACGTGAGGACAGGCTGTGACATTTCCTTCTACAAGCTACGAGATGTTTATCCAACAAAAGCCCCTAAAATGCTGTGGAATCAGAGGATTTGCTCCAGAGACCCTAAAAACCTCTATTGGTCTATTCAAACACACGCCCAGAAAAAAGCTCTGAGGTTTTTTGTGGTGGCTTTTGGCAATCACTCTTACTCAATGTATTATTTTTTTCATTTTTCTTTTAAAATAAACCTCAGTGAAGCCCAGACAGAGGTTGCGACGTCCCTCCATCTTCTGGCTGTTTCTCAGACATTGTTAAATGCCTTTCACAGGCTTGTGCAAGCACAGCCCTGAGGCCTTTGCCTTTCCCTAAGTAGGCTACGCCTGGAAATGGAGTGAAATCTTTGAGAGGACCCTTCCCAGCAGCGTTTGCTGAGAGCTGAGACTTGGTTTTGTGTCTTCTGCAGGATGCTGGACTCGACTTTTCCAGCCGGCCGCACGATACTTGCCGTGGATTTTATGGTGTTCACACTCAGACTCATACATATTTTTGCAATCCACAAACAGCTTGGACCCAAGATCATAATTGTGGAAAGGATGGTGAGTGAGCAGCATCTCTCAGAGAAATACTTGTGCTTTCTAAAAAAACGGAGAGCAGGAAATCTCTTTTCAAAGGATATCACTTTATAATCTGTCTTTATTTTTCATATTTTTTCCAAAGTATATTTTGTCAGATGTCATTTTGCATATACAGACTACTTAACACGACCATTAGGTGCAAGAAGTTTGAAATAAATTCTTCCAAAGAGCTCTATAATGTACTAAATTGGTCCTGATGTAAGAATCTTTCCCTTACCTAACTATTTATCCTCAAATCTGGCAAATAAAAAGCCTCATTGACTTACTGCTCTTCCAGCTTCCTATGCTGTGTGTGTTCAGAGCAAAGACCTTGGGCAGACCAGGCCATTTACTGAATGTCTCTGCTCGAGGAAATAGTTTCTATTACTTGCAAGAAGAAATAAATCTGTGAAAAAGTAGAGTTGGGAGTTTCCCACAGGAGTTACTCTTATTTGTACTCTGACTTTGCAGCTCTGAGTTACAATGAAAACATATCAGCACTTTGTGAGTGGACGTTGGGAGATGTTGATAAAAGATTTGTATTTATCACCACCCTCCTGCAGGAAATGAGATGGGAGGGCTACAGTTACTGTGCCTGGCTATGTGGTGATATGTTGGAGTAGCTTTTTATTTAGGCAGGTTAATCCTCCAGGCCAATTAGCTCACAGTAACTGATTAATAGGAGTTCATCTAACTGCAAGTGCTGTTATAGAATCTCCAAATATTTGATCTGTGACTCAGGGCAGAGCTCAGTAAAACCCTACAGTCTAAACAAGGCTATACATTGAATAAACATAACTACCAAGCTATTTGGATTTGTCTGCAAATGCAAGGACTGGAACTGGAACGTGACGTTTGCCTGGAGTGGCAAAAGGGTAAATGGCAAATAAATATTTGCTCTTGAACATTATCTAGCTTACAGCATGAGCAGGGGTTTATTGTAAGGGAGGTCAGACCTCCAGCTCTGCCCCTTCCTTGCTGCATACCAAGCTAAAGCAGAGCCTTGGCCAAACATGCTGATGTGTCAGTGTTGGCATCTTTGTTTTTCCAAAATAAAAATTGGGGAAAAAAAAACCATCTCCACGCTTGCCACTCCTCTCTTTCAACTATGTCATCGTCCCAGTCCTGCAGCATTGCTGAATTTTTAATTTTCCAGAAAACAGAACAGATTGGTGACAGTTAGAAAGGCATCAGCTCTGCCTTGCCTGGCTTAGACACTGTGTTTCTTACTAGAACTTTAAGCAACATCCTGGAAGTCTGAAATCCCTTTGCTTTTGGGTAACTGCACCATCCAATAATCTAATTGAAACCAATCTACAGTCCCTAATGAACTCTGTCAGATTAGATGGGAAGAGGATGAAGTGTTCCAATTCCACCAGGGAAAAATTCTTACATTGGAAAGACGTAGTAGATGTATTTATCTTTTTTTTAAGTAAGTGTTTTAGGATTCAATTACTTCTGCTTCTGCAGAGAAACACGATGTTTAAAAGCAGGAAGTCCCAAAAACAGTCCCTCAGATGCATTACTTGGCTTGGAAACACAAGATAGGAGCTACCTGATCCTTGCAGCCTTCAGTGCCTGCTGCATTAGTGGTTAAGTGTTCACCACTGAGCACTGGCTGTTGCCAGGATCCACTGCTGCAGCAGAACCCTCATAAATCCACAGGCAAACAGATCTCACAGAAAATCTCCATTTAAAAGGCACAAGGAGATTCACTTAAAAGATTAAACGTGTTGCATTTTTGATTCTATGATTCTAATTGGTAGATGATTGAAAAGCAAGGGCTGAGTTTAGAACATGCCTTTATCTAAATGAGCTATGGAAGAAAAATGCTGATTACAGGCCAAGAACAATGTGATAACAGCAAGATCAAGACTGGAATTCTGCACGTGGGATTGTATCTTATCCCACCTCCTGTAACCTAAACAAGCTTGTAGAGAAACAGAATTATTTGAGCTGTTTTCATGTAGAGAGACTATTTCCTTTGACTCTGCTACTGCAGTCACCTCTCCACCTTTTCTCCCCTTCCCTTGTCTTTTTTAGATGAAGGATGTTTTCTTCTTTCTGTTTTTCCTGAGCGTGTGGCTCATTGCCTATGGTGTGACAACTCAAGCTCTCCTCCACCCCAATGACAGCCAGGTGGAATGGATATTCAGAAGGGTGCTCTATCGTCCCTACCTTCAGATATTTGGCCAGATTCCACTGGATGAAATAGACAGTGAGGAAATTTCTTTCACCCCTTTCACGTGGCCAGTTTGGACTGCACATTTCTGATTAGAGCATGAAATTCCTTCCCAGTATGATTCTTTTTAATAAAAAACCAACTTTGTGCTGCAGGTGAAAGCTTTCCCATTACTATGATGCAGTTTATTTGCAGAGAGATAACGTGCCTTGAGGAATGACATCAGAGCATAGGGGCTGGCCCTATTTAGACAAGCTGTCTGCACCATTCACCCAGGGATTTGCAGTGTTGAAGGCTGGCATCCTTCCCTCCCCTTCAACCCATTTCCATTCAGTTTAACCCAGACCCAGATAACCCTGTGGAAAGTGAAATAAGAGCATCTCCGTGGATTTTGGCAGGAGCTGACCATGACACTCTTAAAGCAGTGCAGCTCTGCCCCTAAGCAAATACTTCTGTTTCAGAATAAATATTCCTCTAGAGTGTGTATTGACTCTGGAGGTAAAGCTGCCCAAAGCAAATAAAGCTGGTAACTGCACATGTGCAAGGTTTCAAACAAGACAACGTAAAAACCATCATGAGATAAGGAAATACTTGGACAGAACAATCATGAGATAAGGAAATACTTGGACATGAAAGTTCAAAGGCAACTTCTCTGGTAGGTATGCAGGTAAAATAAAGAATAGGGCATCTCCTATTGAAGTCTGAAGTAATGCCACATAATTTAGCCAGAATAACAGTTCTAAATATCAGTGGTAGTATTGAAGAACTCAAACATGAGGTAATATAGATGGAACAAAAAAACCCCACGTAGACAGAAAGAAACCAGGAAGCATTCTTCCATGTTCACTCTGCTCAGCAACAAAAAGCACAAGTGTTAGAAAAGCCAAAAAAGCCTGAATGAGACAAAAGAGCAGGGGAGTGATTCATCTCACTTAGTTTTAAATGCCTACAGTGTAAGCATGCACAGCACAACCAATCCCTCTTAGTTCCATCAGAGGAATTGGAGAGAAATAAATATTTCTGGATGAAATATTTGATGAATCTCATTTGGAAATAAGTCTGGTGCAAGAGTCCCTAGAAATGTGTGTTTATTGAGACTCCAAAATGTGTCTTCACTTGGATAAATAATTGGTTAACAGACAGATTAAAAAAGAACTAATTACACAGGCAGCTTCCAGAAAGGAGTCATTTGTCCTGGGGTCTCTGGGGCTGATTCTGCTTAACAGCTTTCTGGAACATGCAGAAAAGGAGATCAATGATCAGAGGGACAAAACTTGCGATGAAACTGCATTACTGGGCAGTAAAGACTGAAGCTGACACCCAAGAGATGCAGGGGCCCCTCAGGAGGGTTAAATCATCAAATGAAATTCAGGGTAGATAAATATAAGTAGTAATTCAGTGTAATAAATGTAAGTAGTGCTCTTGGTGAAGGCAGTCCCAGCTGTGGTGAGCTTTGATATGACTGTGTGCTCTCAGGAACACAGCAGTGGGGAAAAGAATTATTAGTGAAAAAAAAGAACAAAAAAAGGAAATATCATTATGCTGCTCTAAAAGTGTGGATTTAAGTCCTAGCTGGAGAGAGGAGAGAGGGCTAGACCTGTAGTCTGATGCTGCAGAACCATTCTTACTCACCTCAACTGCAAGCTCAGACATTCTACATAGTTTAAATTTAGTAAAAGCTGGGAATGGTGTTCCTCATTCTGAGTTTATTCTAACATTGAGGGCTGCAAGGACATGAGCATGTGGGTGAACAACTGCTAAATAAATACTCAAAAGTGGCTTGCCTTGGGCCACTCAAACCTAGTCTAAAAAGGATACAGCTTTGTCAAGACAACCTTCTTGTGCTGAAGGTTACTCAAAAGCTAATTACAGCTTTGTCAGTACAACCTCCCTTTGCTAAACAACCATCTTGACCCTGAATGAGCAGCCAGGTTCTGGAGGTCTGCACTGTCCCCAGGTTCCAAACCTCTTACACATTAAAGCAATGTCTCTTCATGTACCTAGTGATTACATAGTCACTAAATTAAAGACATTGTATATTAGTTCACATAAATTATCTGTTGCCTGCAAGAATTAGCTCAGTGGCTCAAGAAGTCAATGAACTGTCCCTTTAGGGTTAAGAGAGTCTCACTCTTACAGTCCTGCTAGTAGTCAACAAGGACAGTACAAAAATCACTACTACAATATTGGTTTTGAGGTTATAACAATGGTAAAATGTTCAGGACAAAATCATGCTGCTGCTCTTCATACACCACGAAGATTAAATCTCATTTCAGGAGCTGATATCATCATTGTCCTTGATTTGTATCTTAACAGCAAAGGTCCTGAGTATAAGCATCCATCCCTGCCATTAGTTCTTAAAAATAATAATAAAAAAGAATGTTTAGATGCAGTAATGCAGTTTTTATTTGCTTTGAAATAGCTACAAAAATACCTCAGACCTTGGGAATATCTTGTAATTCTTGCCATTCTTTGTTGAAAGTCAGAGATTTTGCCCTCCAGAAAACAAAGCTTTTGTCTTCACCCTAAGAAACACACATGGCAGTAGGATTTGTCAAAATTATCCTTTCATTTCTTTACCTTCCTTTGCAGCATCACGGACGTACCCCAGGAACTGTACATTTAACCCACTGCAGATCCTGCAGGAGAACTCACCATCCTGTCCTAACAGCTATGCCAACTGGCTGGTCATTCTTCTGCTGGTCATCTTCCTCCTGGTCACCAACGTCCTCCTGATGAACCTCCTGATTGCCATGTTCAGGTAAGAGGAATTTCAACAAGTAGCAAGACAGAGGCTGTGAGGGTTTGATTGAGTGCCCACGTTCACTCCCTTGCTGCTGGCCACTCAGTTTGGAATACACAAGTAATTTTCCTAATGAATATTATTTAGGGATTGATA